CGATCGAGCTGTGTCTGCAGCTCGCTGTAGGCCACCCTGGTCTGTCCCAGTGCATTGTACCTTCGACCTAGGTATCCAACCAGCTCACTCGGTTGCAACTGCCGAATCCTGTTGTTACCGACGGAAAAGAGAGAGCGAGTTACGCAGTAAGTGCTTATTACCACGGTTAACATTAACCGTAATAGCGGCACTTTACCAGCGTTTATCGACATCCCTCTTTTCTCGAAGAATTCGACGGCTGTCCGAAGCTGTTTGGTACCATCCTTGGCCGATTCGGATAGCAGGATTAAATCATCGGCGTAACCCAACACCGAGATCTTCCTGCCATCTGCAATAGGATGGCCAGGCCCGCCTGCCTCAAGCTTGCATATCAACTCATCGACCACCATGTTAAAGAGGTATGGCGACAGGGGATCTCCCTGTTTGACGCCTCTACACATCTTGATGTTGTTCGTCGACTTGCTTCCTGCAGCATTGCTCGTACGGCAATTCAGATACGAGTCCACCACATATCGCTTAAATGATGCATCAACCCCGAAGCGAGTCATAGCCCGCTCGATGGAACGTTGTGAAACCGTGTCGAAAGCTTTACGTAGATCTATGAAGATGATATTATATGGACGAATGCTTTTCCTTCTTTCTTTGATCACCGCTTGAAGTGTCAGGTTAAATGAGATCGTAGGCTTCCACGGCCAGAGTCAGAATTATAATTTATTCGTCTTCCGGGTTTGGACCGTGTCATTTGTGAGTGACCCTAAAGTGGGTTCATCTCGACGTTTCGCTTCAATTGTATGTAGCTTCTTCAGGAGAACAAAGAAAAAGAAAAAGAAAACAAAAGACAGGAAGATGGGTAGTTAGCAACGGTAACTCAGTTACTCAACGCAACCAGAGGCGAATACTAACTACCAAGCCTATCTATACCTATACTAACTACCTGCCCATCTTGGTAGTTAGTATTCGCCTCTGGTTGCGTTGAGTAACTGAGTAACCCATCTTCCTGTCTTTTGTTTTCTTTTTCTTTTTCTTTGTTCTCCTGAAGAAGCTACATACAATTGTAGCGAAACGTCGAGATGAACCCACTTTTGGGTCACTCACAAATGACACGGTCCAAACCCGGAAGACGAATAAATTATAAGTGTCAGGTTGTTTAACAGAACGCCGTCTACCTGCCGAAAGCCTCTCTGAAGCTCGTGGAAATCTAGCACCGCAAGCCTCTTCCCAAGCACGCGATGAAACACCCTAACCAAGATTGAGGAAATGGTTATCGGACGCCAGTTACCTACCTCCATAGGATCGCCACCCTTTGGTATCAAGGTGGTCCTGCAGTTCCTTAATACTTCTGGGGTGACTCCAAAATGGAGCATGGTATTATAGATGAGAACCAATTTCTGAACGGGTACCTTACGCAGCTCTCTAAGTTTGAGGCCATCAGGACCGGCTGCTTGTGATCTCATAGTTTGTAAGGCCCCGAGGATTTCCGCTTCTGTTACAGCATAGCTGATCAGTAGCGGTTCCTTCTGATCTGAAATCGGTTCATCGTCTGTTGGCGATCTTGATGGAAAGATCGTCTGATATTCCCTTTCCACATCCTTGATGTTAGGGTATACATCGCTGCCAAAGAGAGGCTTATCATCTATGATTGCCCGAGCCAGAGCGGATCTATCAGTATGGTATCTAGTTTGGGTCAAGCGGTATCTTTGAGCCCTTTGCGCGCGTCTGTTATTTATAGCCAGGGCATTATTAGCTTTCGAATTGCGTTGAGATGGCTGCTGTTGTTGTTTACGCTTCCTGGCGCTCGCAGTTATATTAACGGTGATATACTCTTCTAACAATAACCTGACTACCTCTCTGTGTCGCTCATTTATAAAATCAATATTCAATATCTGCATATAAAGGTTGTTGCACACAAACATAGTGTATAAACCACAACAAATCAAACACGGTAGCCTTAGTCAAGCAATCTTTGGAAAATAGCCATTTTTTTTATTTTGAAAAGGTACAGATTTTGGAAAAAGATCAACATTATTTATAAGAAGAACATTAATCGTTTGTGGTTAAGGTGTCAAGAAACTGGTGATATTACTGAACGTCATAGAGGACGTACAAGGATAACTAATCAGCCTTAAAGACCGTTTTATTAGGTTGAAGTCTTTGCGAGATCGAGCTGTAACTGCAGCACAAATTGAGGTTACCATGGCCTGTACAATCGCCAGATTTAAATCAAATTGAGTATATTAAGCAGACGCCTTTTACAAAATATTGTGTTCAATACAAGATAGCAACTGCTTGAGAGCCTTTCAATGAAGTGGAACAGAATATCCCAGCAAGACATTGGCGATCTGATCATGAGTTTGCCGTATAGATGTAGGACCGTAATCAACAACCGTGGAGGTCATACACTATACCAACCTAAAGACTACTTTTTTGGGAGTTAAGGGGGAACAAATTAGTTTTTTTATTTTTTTTTTTTTTTGTTTTTTTTGTAACCATTTTTTGACAAGTTTTTTTTAAATTTTCTTAAGAACTGTTGCGATATATATATACATATATATATATATATATATATATATATATATATATATATATATATATATATATATATATATATATAAATCAATCTTTGTTTTTTCGTATTTTGATATTTACACGTATGAAGTTGAATTTAATTTAGTAACTACAAGTTTTTATAATAGTTATTCTTCACAAGTATAAACATATAATATAAAACTAACAAGCCAACAGTAAATATGATATATTTATGATATGATGCAATTACAGTCGCATTTTATTTTTTATATTAATTATGTATTCTTTTTTTTTTTCAGGTGAGTCAGGCTGTACCACACAATTTGCATGAATTATGTAAGTGACGGACTTCCTGCGCATGCTAATAGGTTTCATATACTTTTTATATAAAAATTTTAAATCTATATCTAGATAACATTTTCTGTATTTATCGCATAAATCGATATAGTTATTGCGTGTCAAGGATGGATACAATAATAGAATGACATTTACATACAGAAATACATTTTGTTATATTTTTAGTTTTCTTTTCTGATTGATGGGTTTTTTATCTCGGTTGAAATGAATTAATAATTATTACTAATCAAATTGACTGGTAATGAATTCAAGGGCCTATTTGCAAACTAATCTGCGAGGCATAAGGTGGGGATATAACTAAATATTAAAAAAACAATAATACAACAATTATAGAACTGTATAAACACTAGTTTTTTTATTTAAATAAATAAATAATTAAATTAAATTAATTTTAAGTTGTTTACAGCTTATTACCCCATGAAACGAAACCGAAAAATTACTTGAAAAATGGAAAAATTACCGGGCGCTACTTTTAACTAAAATATCTAAGGGGAAATCAATAGAAAAGGCATATTATTTCGTGGTTATCGAAATTTGAACTGCGTTATGAAATTTAGACAAAAAAAGACTTTTTTCATTGATTTCAATATTGTGAAAAATCTACTCATTCTAGATAAAATCGTTGAACAGACGACTTTCTTGAAAATAATTCCTCTTTAAAATGAGATTTTCTAAATAAAAATATGTTTATAAACAAAAAAGTTTGCAAATAATGCCGACAGTAAGCATGTTTTTTAATAGTTTATAATTATTAAAATCAACAATGTAAACGTTTTAAACACATTTTATATTGTGTTTTTATGTAGTTACTACATTTGCGAAAGGTCGGCACATTCAGTTAAGTAGTTTTTAAACAAATTTGGTTAAACCATTTGAGAAACAAAGGTTATTTCCACATGGCTGTACAGGTGCTTTGTAAATACTTAGAACGTTTTTTTGTCTGATTCTCTTTTAAACGGTCTCAAGTTTTCATGTTTTTTAAAAAGTATAATAATTTTTAATTGTTTGCATACAAATAATAATTGATGCAGAATGAAGTACCATTACCATTATATTGGCAATATCCCTAACTTATGCCGCGCAGTATATATTTAGTGAACAAGCATTAAAGTTTGAAAATATCCAAAAAAGACAAAAGTTATGACGTTTGAATGTAAATAGTTTATAAGAACAAACATAACCCCCTCTGTGGCTCAGTGGTAAGAGCGCCTGCCTTTAAACCTAAAGGTCGTGAGTTCGAATCCCACCTGGGTGGAAATTTTCGTTTATTAAAAAAATTAATAAATGAAAATAATTTCTATCCTTGTGCGATTGGTACTCACCGGAGGGACCGCAGACGTTCGGATACAATTAGCGTCTCTTAGCAAAGACAATGACGTCGACTTTGCTAAGTATCAAGACAATTACTCTACACACACACACACACACACACACACACACACACACACTACACCTCAAATTGTAAGATTGGCGAATGGATTTAGTGTCCGCAGTCATTTAATCACAAACAAACAACAACAACAAGAACAAACATTATATATGGCGATCATCTACTAGAACAAGTGAGATATTTGAATTAGGGTGTTAGCCTAAAGTTGACCTAAATTGACAAATGTCAACATATATGCAATTAATAATATGTCATTTGCATACATGCAGCATCTTCTTCGTCATGTTGCATATCTGTTATGAAGATTGGCTATTACCATGGCAATTCTGACCTTGAAATTTGTCCAATCTTACTTGAAATAGTCCTCTTACAACAAAAATGCATGTTGCCAACAGAAAATGATGGACAAAAATGGTTTGAAGATTTTTTTTAAACAAATTGTAAAATTAAATTTTTCAGTTCAAACTCAAAGTGCGAAAATGTTCATTTTCAAAACTTGATAACTCATGAACAACTAATATTTTTAAGTTTAGCAGTTATCAAATTAAACCTAAACTTTATTTTACAAGATCCCGAAGAGTTTTTCGGAGAATCATCGAAGAATGCGATGTACTGAGAGAAATCTGGCAACACTTTCTTACGTATTAAGTCTTTCTTTCTCTCGCCCCACCACTAACACCTCGTTGCATTGCTTAGTGCCAGACAGCCGGCCTAGCAGCTTCCGAAGATGGAGCTTTCGATCGTTGTAACCGTCGGATGCGAAATTTGTGCTTTGGTAGGTTTTTTAAAAGTAAAACAGATTTCACCTATTGATATTCATCGTCAGTTAATCGAAGATTATGGGGAAAAGAGCATATCTATTCAACATGTTCGCAAATGGTGTAGAGAATTCAGTGAGGGCAGAACGAATATTCATGATAAAGATCGGACCGGAAGGCTTTCAGTTTCAGACGAAAAAGTCAAACGAATATTGCTTGAAGATCAGAAGTTTACCCTTAACGACCTTGCTTTGCATATTCCTGAGATTTCTCACACCACAATTCATGTCCAGTGGTGTGGGGCTTCTCCATGACAATGCTCATATCTTATATCAAAATGACTAAACAAAATTTCTTAGAAAGTTTGGTTGTGCCCCCCATCTCACTCCTTACCTAGCCCCAAGTGATTTACTTATTTCCAAAGTTAAATAAACATTCTTTATCTTACGCTTCAGTATCGATGATCAAGTCAAGAAAAAGGTTACTTGATTCCTCAGTCGATTGGCTGTATAATTCTATAATATTTGGATAGAAAAGTTAGAGCAACATCTGTAATATTATTTGGATAAGAACGACGTTTATGCAGAATAATAGCGTCAGTTTTAACTTTTAAAATGATGTATAACACTAAGAAAAAAATATATTTAAAAAGTTACAATTTCTCATAATATATAATGTTTATAAATATAATGTATTTATTTTAATTATATTTTAAATAAATAAATAAAAAAATAACAATAAAAAGGCGACTTAAGAAAAGATTTGTATATCCAGTAGTCATTAGCTGCTTTGTTTGGATAATTTGCAATGAAAATACGATAAATGGAATTATTTTAACGTTGTACCCCAGTTTAGAAGAGAATTAGCAAATTTGATACTGTATAACCCCACGGTTCGTAGACTTACTACGGTTGCCTACTCCGACTAACCAATGAACATTAAGCCAGAAATTACGTCACGAGAGTACAGTAATTTGAATCGTAACATTGTTAATCGGCGTCTTCATGTCTTTGATGTATAAAAAATAGTAAAGATAGTTATCAAATAAAAATGTTTAGTGGATTATAATACCTTATTATGGAAAACTATTGATATGTAAGAAGTTTGATACTTAAAATTAATCAGAATAAAGTTCTAGATGTACGTAAATTTAGGATATCTCCATTTTACACTGAAAATTTGTCGCATATACTGAATTATCAATACTGAGTTAACTTTTGAATGATTACCGGCCTTTAGAGGTCAGCTAGGATTATCTGAGTAGGAATTAATTGTATAATTTAATGTAAGAATTTAAATAATAGATAATAAATTTAATTGGTTTATTAACTAGTTTATTATATTTCCAATAGATATAAATATACACTACATAATTTTTTTTTCATTTTTTTAAATATTTTTCTAATAAGTCTTCAATGATAGCTGCTTGTGTTTTCATTGCTACTCTTTTATCTCTTCTTGCTGTAGGTTCACATTTGGTTTGTTTTTAAACATCTTGACATTGTAAGTTTTTACTTGGTATTGCTATAAAATAGTGATGATAATAAACAGAATTACATTAAGTCAAAAATACTTATCTTTATCCTTTAATTTCAACTTAGGCCTAGTTCCCATTATTCGTTCATACATGTCATCTTTTTTGCAACTGCGCATAACCCTTATTTTTTCTAATTTTGTATTTTTGTGATCAGAATCGGCAGACTTCTTGTTTTTATAAAAAATTATTTTCACAAGTAGCCACACTACAACCTGTGCCTGGCATTCTAAAATTTCATCAACATTATTATTACGTTAATAGACAATGAAATTTAAAAGTTTTGACCTACCTTATAAAAAGATTTTTATGTAAGGTACTCTACAATAGGTACGATGTACAACTACAATAAATAATTTTTCTTCGATAGTTAAAAATAAGTTTTTACAGAAAACAACACCAAATTTTCAAATACAAAAAAATAAAGTAAACTAAGATATTTAAGAAACGATAAATAATAAAGCAAATAATACACTGAAACATAATTACCACGAATAAAAAACTGATAATAAATGGGCTTCGTATTCTTGTGTACTCTGGTGACGTAACTAAAGCATTTAACTCTCCCTACCCCAGTCGGAAGAGGCAAGCGTAGTAAGTCTACGAATTGTGGTATAACCCAGTATAATTTGTATTCCCAACACTCTATTTTGAAACGGTGGTGGATTTTTTAAAGAGCGCGTCTTGTACTTCAGTCGATTACCCTCATTCCTTCTACTCTAGACGGAACTCAAAGTACTTTTTGTTTACAACACTTCCGTTTAAGGAAACCTTTTTGCTACGGAATTTTGCAAATTAAATAAAAAAATTGTTTTTCTAGATAAATGGAATCACGTAAGGTGTTCTTATAGACGTCCTTCCAATTTTTCGTTTTTATTCTATCCGTAGTTTGGTAAAAGATTTCTTATATTTGAATATTTAATAAACGGTTGTTGCCTGATTTCTAATTATTTCAAATCAAGATATCTGTATGCTGTGGGTATATTAATAAGAACTACCAATATTTATTTTCACAAATTACTACCGTCTATAGAACACTTTACACTCGAGTAAGGACGAAAAAAGAAATCACTAATTGTTTTTCTCATTGTTAAAAACAAACACGCATTCTTTTTAAATCGAAACCGTCAATCGATCTCACTTTACCATTTACATCCGGAATTTGATTACCTAAAATGTAATAGTCTGGTCAAATGTAACCATTTTGTAAAAGGGGGTTAATTTCAAACTATAAAAAGCAGAAAGCATAAGACAACATAATGTGGTCATCAATCGATTAATCGATTGACAATTCAATGTTCTTGTGTGCCATGTTTTTTTTAAGCGTCGGCTATCTTTATCTTTACAAGCTGCTGAAATGCTTTTCAGTCTGTAAAATAAAAAAAAAGTGGACCAAACATTTTCGTTCTATTTTGCCCGTTTGTAGCAGTCAATGGAAACAACATCACTCTAATATTTCTAATCTATTTGGATTATGCACTTTCATTCTCCGGAATCCTTACCCATCAAGTAAAGCCGACCAGACATAGCACTTTAATAGTCTCAGATGTATTAAGTGAAGAACTTTAATTTTATAATAAAGAACGCCAGTTCTTGGCGTTCTATTTTTCGTCGCATAAATAATAAAAATGAAATTGATTTCTTCCCTGAAAAGAACAGTGCTGATCGAATTACCATCTTCTAGTTCTGATCGAGAAATGCATTGAATATAATAAACCTCTTATAATTATCTTTGTTGACTTTACGACACATTATAAATAAATATGCATACATTTGCCCTTTTGCTTAGAGAACACCGAATTCTTGAAAAAATTCTAAAGGTATTTCTGGATTCGTCGCAAGCATCTTGTATCCTTGGCCAGAGTTGGGCACGATTTTGTATAGAAACGAAATGAACAAATGCTTTTATATATTTTCAAATACAATAATCGCAAGGATTAAAATCTGGCGACTTTGGTGGCCAAGCAACTGGAATGCCTCTTCCAATCCAGTGGTCTTCATAGTTATTACCAAGTAAGTCTCGAAGATTCCTGCTAAAGTGGGCCGGAAAGCCGTCATGTAGAAACCATAAGTTTTAACGAATATTTTAAGGCACATCATCTAATAAATCAGGTAATACATTTTGCAGGAAATGTAGGTAACCAGCGACATTTAAACGAGCAGCCAATTACACAGGCCCAAGTAGATAATCGTTAAATACTTATATCCAGACGTTTATGCTAAACCTATGCTGATGCTTAAATTCTTGAATAACGTGGAGATTGTTACCAATATACGGATTTTATTGTGCATTATGCACATTTAAATTTTCATTTTTGTGAATGTAGCTTTGTTGAAATATACCTAAAAAAATTATCATTTTGATTTTTCTGATTTTTTACCCATCTAGCGAATTTTTCACGAGCAGAAAATATCCTTATAGCAATACTTGTATCTTTGTAAAATAAAAAGGAGATAAATTTTCGTTGTGTAAAATATTTCCTATGAAAGATTTTCAAATTGTGGGATACGTGGCAAATAGTCTTCGAACGCTAATTTCTGGATTTTCCTCAACTTCCATTAAAATAACACCTTCATGTACTGTTACATAATCATGTCGTCCTATTTCATTATTGTTTGGGACCACTGAACCTGTTTTTTAGTCGTTGATGAAAAGCTGTAAATATTGAGTGAGTGGGATCACGATTGGGAAATTTTTCAGGGAATCTACGTTGTGCTGCTCGAGTGTTACACCTCATTTCGCCATAAACCTCGAGCGTGAGGCGTAACCATCGAGCAAAAAGACAAAAAAGGGAATGTAAAGGTAGGGGGGGCAAACATATTGTTAGACAGGAAGTGCGATCTTTAGAGGCCACATTAAACAAGGAAAGAGAGCCTCCCTCCTTGTTTGACATCAAATTTAGTTGGGTTATGTTATTGTTTGTCCCAAATGTCACATGAAATCTTATTTATATTGAAGTTTTTTAACAATTCTGTCGCATTTTAGACTATTATCGTTAATAATTAATTAAACCTTTCTCGTCTAAGACACATTCTGAAAAATATTATATAGCTACTGTTGATAAGTGTCGGAAAATTTGAATTTGGCGTATTCGCATTTTCGGATATGTCCGCCATCAGAGGCCACTTTTTTGGTCTCCTTTTCATAAGGATTAGATTCCCTCTTTTGTCTTTTTGCTCGATGAGCGTAACGCTCGAGCGTTACACCTCATAATTGAGATTGTGATACTTGAATGTCATAAAGTAAAAACTAAAGATAAACTTCGCAAACCGACCACAATTTAACAATCAAAAACGTAGGTGATACTTTTGTTGAGAGGTCCAACATGTAGGTCCAACAATTTAACTTTCATGACTAAAAAACGAAAAATTTTTAAATCGATTTTTCTGGACAACGGTGTATCCTATCAGGAATATCCTAGATTAGGAGTACCTTTAAGTTCTAGACTACCTGAAAATTTAATAATCTAGTATCACAAGTCCTTAAAGGGTAAAGACAAAAAAGTTTGTTAAAAATGTGTTAAACTAACCGTTGACCTACCTAAAACGGACGCCTATGATCGGTATTGGAAATTAGCAATTTATGAAATAGATTTAGTTCTGGAGAATAAATAATAGTAACAGTTTTCGTTTTTCTAAATAGAAGCGTTCCGGAGGTATTAAACTAATTACAAGGCGCCATCTTCAAACAGCTCTATTAGCTCCCTTAACAAACATTTTCGGATATGGTGAATTGGGTTCAATTGTCCTTAAATTATCTGAGGAATCTCTGATCTTCAT